TGAACAAACTGGGTTTGGATGGAGACCTGTTGTGTCTCAGTGGATGAACATCTGTAACATGGCCATTGCTAGAGACGGGCCTGAAATGAAAGCCCAGATCTGAATATCTCCAAAACTTGGGAGAGTTGGCAACTTAAAGCAAACTTTGCAACTGATCCCTGTTTTTTTAGGGGCAGAGCCAGATGCCCCCAAACTGTAAGTTTAGATTCAGATGCCAGCATTGCACTTTAGACCCATCTCTATCTCAACCCAGGAGTTGGCCCGGGCTCACTTATAATTCACCTAAGCTTCATAAAAGGGCACATAAGAGCTCAATTTTGCATTGACAACAAAACCTGAACCCAGAGTTATTGAGATCTAGGTCAGTGGTTCCCAACCTTTTTTATGCCAGGGACCGGCAAATCCATTCACAAATGCTTGGCAGACTGGTAACATTTTATTTGCATAATTGCATATTCATCATTTGCATGATGAATACACAAATATGCTAATAACATGGTATCAGTCCATCTAGCCCCTTGCTCCCCAGTGCCTAACACGCTTTTACCCTTCCCTCCTATGCCCTGTACTCTTTGACCTTTTAACCTCTGACCCCCTACAGCCCATGCCAACACCCTCTTGCCCCATGACCCCACCAAACCCTCATCCATCACCTCTTTGCCCCTACCCCACCCCTGCACTTTCCAGAGCAGGGCTGCTCCTTCTAGGGAGCGTGGCCATTACTGCCGTCTGGGCAGCCACGGTGGCTCTCCTCCTTTGTGCCCCCTCCCTTTCCAAACACATTTGGCAGAACCCTGATCAGCCGCCATTATGGCGAAAAGGAGGGAAGGAGGAAGGTGGGAGGCATCTCCTCCTGCTGCCACCTCAGCCCCAGCATCACTGCTGGCAAAAATGGCCACATGGGCAGGGTGGGGAGCCCTGGAGAGGCATGTGTGCCTCCTTCCTTCTTCATGCCCCCTCCCTCTCCAAGCGCATCTCCCCAAGACTGGATGGGAGAGGAAGGAGGGAAGCGTCTCCTGCTCTTCCTCCTCCTCCTGCTGCCACCTGAGCAACCATGGCTGCTGGAGCTGAGCCGCTGGGAACAGCTGGCTTGAGCTCTGACAGTCACCGCAGCACAGCAGGCTGTGGCCCAGCGGTTGGGAACAGCTGATCTAGGTAATAGTCACAAGCTGTTCGAAGACACTCATAACTTTTTATTTTTAGGGCATTATCTATTTCTTTTCCCTTTGTCTAATTTAATTTGATTAGCAATACATAAGATCAATACAGGATTAAGTGAATCCATATAATGAATAATCTCTATTTCATATGGGAGGTACTGTTTAAATGTTCAATTGTTTAAAGACTGTTTTCTGGCTTTTCATACAAACACGCTGTGTGAAAGAAGCATAGTATAGATGCACTCTTGCTGCTTACTCTGTGTCTTCTTAAAAATGATAATTTCAGTTCATTTAATGTTTTGTTAGTTCAAATAAACAGTTTAGCTTATCCATATTTATGGCAAACTGATAATACTTTTGTGGCAGTGGAAGTTCCCAAAGCAAATTGAGACTACTTCCTTTTTTTTGTTGCAGATGGATCAGGTAACAAATTTAGACTATGAATAGATACATTCTAATCCTAATGCTGTTCTTTTATATCCATTTAAGTATTGGAAAAACTAAAACTGTCTTCATAAATTCTAAAATGTTTTGAGTTTTTTGCATCCGTTTGAGAAAACTTAACCAGAAAGGAAGGACTATACTGTCAGGGTATGTCTACACTACCCTCCTAGTTCGAACTAGGAGGGTAGTGTAGACATACCCTGACAGTATAGTCCTTCCTTTCTGGTTAAGTTTTCTCAAACGGATGCAAAAAACTCAAAACATTTTAGAATTTATGAAGACAGTTTTAGTTTTTCCAATACTTAAATGGATATAAAAGAACAGCATTAGGATTAGAATGTATCTATTCATAGTCTAAATTTGTTACCTGATCCATCTGCAACAAAAAAAAGGAAGTAGTCTCAATTTGCTTTGGGAACTTCCACTGCCACAAAAGTATTATCAGTTTGCCATAAATATGGATAAGCTAAACTGTTTATTTGAACTAACAAAACATTAAATCTTCCAAATGTAGGCATCAAAACAAAATAATCCCAGGTTTTATAATCTTTCCTCACAAGTGGGGTTTTCTAACCCTGTATCATTTCTGTTTCCCTCCTTTGGACATGCTCCAATTTGTCCATGTCTGTTCTAACATTGTCAGCCGACGGTCAGGGCAGTGAGTCCCTTATGACCGGCTGAAGTTCTTTTAAATTGTGCTTGGTTCTGTTACAGCAACTGAAGGAGTCAGGTTAAAGCTTAAACAGTTACTATTTATTGTTACAGGGTAAACTTAGTTGTTAAATGCTACTACTGTGTTACAGATAACACAGACACTACAAAGGACAGGACAGAAATTACACTAATAAGTCACTTACAGGTACCATGAAACCCTTTGGTTCTCTGAGCTCTTATTAAATGCATGCAAAATAGACACATAGCAGGTATATATTCTCACCCCTGCGTTCCAGACTTGGCGTGGCCAGCGTCTTTCTCTCAATCCCTCGGGAAGAAGTAGGGCGAGGTTGGGCGTCCCACAGACCTCGGGAGACAATCAATACCTGCCAGCAGGTATAGATGATTGGAGCTCAAATGGGGTGGGCAGCTGAACCTCTTTTATACCCCTTGGGTCATGAAGGCTTCTTCCTGGTTTCAAGTGGCCAATTAGGAAAAATGGCTTTGAATGCCAAGTTTCCCACGAAGGGTGCAAAGCATAATTCACACCTGGGAAAATGCAGACAATGGGCACCTCTGGTATGTGATGGGCGAAGATTCCTCTCCTGGGACAGTGCAGGCGTGTCAATTACTGGTACTAGCCATCAGGGCGACGGGAGGCCCCGGGTCGTCAGCTAGCCCATTTACTGTCTGGTTTCTGGTAGAGTCAGGGACAGGCAGCAAACCTGTGTTCCCAGGGCATCAAAGGCTGACTGCCTTTCTCTTGCTCTCTGGGGGAGGGGGGAAACAAGATGGGGCTCGTGGAAAAACAAGATGGGGTTTTGTGTCTGGCTACAAACATGTGGTGCCCAGAACTGAACAAACAATATTCTGCCTGAGCCTGAAGTAGTATTAGTAATTACTTCAATGCCTTTTTGCATAACACAATCGACACACAAGTGATGTGGGATATTCTCTGCCATTCTAGTTTGCCAGACTATCACCTGCCTTGCACTAAAAATTCAGGGCATGTCTACACAGCAGCGCTATTTCGGAATAACTGATGTTAATCTGAAGTAACATAGTTCTTGTCTACACTACAAGCCTTTATTCGATATAATGTCGAACTGGAGAACTTCTTACTTTGGCTCATAGTAACCCTCATTTCTTGAGGAACAAGGGACGTCAAAAGAAGAGTGTTATTCTTTCAACTTCCTGCTGTGTAGACCGTGCCAAAAGCTGAATTAAGCTATTTCGACTTAAGCTATGCAATTGACATAGTGGAAGTTGCATAGCTTCATTTGATTTTAGCCCTGCTGTGCAGACATAACCTCAGTGATTACCTTTGAGACATGAAACAAATGACTATTTAAAAGTTGGAAAAATATGATGGAATACTGTCGTTTTTTTTCCTCCTATCTCTGGGTTCATCTGGTAGTCTCATCTTCTCCTTTTCTGGCTATGAGTTTGTAAATTATTCAGAACTTACTGGCTCAGTTTTACTGTGTTGAACTAATTATTTAAACATAGTTTATCATTGGTGGTGTAATATACATATGGTCATTGAATTACAAGTCAGGAAGTTTGAGTGATTTTAGTGTTGGATGAATAGCAAAGGAGGCATTTGCTAATTTTTAGCAATCTCCTCTGATTATTTAGCTGATTTATGGTATATGTGGTGTGTATTTGTACAATATGCATAGTGTGTCCATATCCAACCACATAATATATATTTAAAAAAACTGGGAAATAGCGGAACTCTGTTTTATAGCTGAGAAAGGCCTGGATCAGAAACTTGATCTTTGCATTGAGGAGAGATTAAATCTGGTTGCAGATCTGCGACTTGGACCCATTGCTTGTTTATAATAATGAAGTTAAGTACAATGAAAGCCCCACACAGTTGCAGTGTATTATAATGTTCAAATTCCAGATCTTGGACAAGCAAATGTCAGCTTATAATGGAGGAGTTCTACTTTTTTTTGTATGCAAACAGGAACTGGAAGAAGGGGGGCAGGGTAGAGAAGGACAGGATTTTTTTTTAGTTATTTATTTTCCATAGTGCAAAGTCTCCTCAGTGGAATTTCACAATATTTTAATAAATGACCAATCTCCTTTAACCTTGCCTTTCACCTGTCCACAACAGAAAGGGTCCATTGTCGTAAGTGGCATTGTGGGCTTTATAAAACACCTCTCTTCAAAATTAGAGGATGAGTCAGTGGCTGATTGATTATACAACACTGCAAAGCACTAAAGGGCAATTATTAGGTATAAGAGTAGTATTCAATGGCTCACATTGTGTATAACATTATGTATTACCTTTAGGTACCCAGTTGCCACCTTTATAGAGGCCACAGAGGCAATAAGAGCTGCCAACATCTGATAATCCACAAATGGAAAAATGGCACTTAAAAAGATTTTATTCTGGTGGGGGCTCTGTAAGGAATGAAAATACAGCACTGGAATGGCTGCATATAAACTTGAGTGTAAATGAAAAAGCTTTTTATTTGGCTGTAGAGCCAGAGTTTTCGAAGCCAGTGTGCCATGTGGTCTGGAACCAAATGTTATGGGTAGTAGATCAGAACAGGGAACACTTTGAATGGGAAAAAATCACTCTAGTTAAGCTGGAACAGCTGAAGTGCAAGTATGTCAGTAAACAGGGCATCATCTTATGGCCAAGCCTGAGGAAGATTTGGGGTTGGGGAGAACCAAAACTCAAGTGCACTGCCCGATTTAGATGTAAAAATATAAATGCACTAGTTTTAGTGTTTTACATTTTACAGCTTTATTCTAGCGCGTTGTGCACGCACCTCTTGTCAGCCTGTTCTGTGTAACGTTTTATGTGTGTGTCACATAGCCTGGCTGGATCAGGGAACGCTCTCCAACTGTTGCCTACTTGGTGCCCTGCCAAGACAGCACTGTAAGATTTGCTTCAGTAACTTTTCCTTTCAGACAGAGGAAAGCTGCTTCTACCCTGCAGACAAAGCAGAAGGGAACCAGTAAAACAACTTTTGCAGACACATGGAACCAGAGAGAGATTGCACTTTAACTACTTCTTCAATTTGACATTGTCCTTACACATAAGGTCACTTTATTGCATGTTTGAGGCCTGCCAGACTGAGGAAGTTACCTTGTGAAGGAAGGAACTAGACCATACTGTCTAAATATTGTTGATTGTGTATTGAATGGAGGCCATAGCTTGAAGAATCTAAATAGTAGTTCTTTGTACCCCTGTTTGCCTCCTGCCAAAGTACTTTCCATAATTAGGCTTAAAATGTATTTACATTCATGTTGTCTTTGGTACTAGGCACATATCACTGTATGTGCTCTCTGTATGCTGTACAAGTATGTCGCTCAAACACACATATATATATATATATTCATGCAGAATGTACATCTGAGAATAACTTCCGCAAAAAGATCTTGGATGAGTGGTGGAGTTAGTCCATATCTGCAAAAACCGTGAGGATTCCTGTCATGAAAGCTTATGCCTTAATAAATCTAAGGCTACATCAAGACTACATCCCTCTGTCGGCAGAGGGATGTAAATGAAGCACTTTGAAAGTGCAAATGAAGCCGGGATTTAACTATCCTGCACTTCATTTGCATAATGGCGTCTGCTGCTTTTTTTCGAAAAGGGTGTTTTTCGGGAAAAAAAAATCAAACCCAGCAGTTTAGATGGGAATTTTTCAAAATAAAACCCTTTTTTCAAAAGATCCTGTACTCCTCAAAAAATGAGGTTTACAGGGTCTTTCGAAAATGGGTTGTATTTTCAAAAGATTCCCGTCTAAACTGCCGTGGGTTTTTTTTTTTTTTTCAAAAAAGTCCCATTTCGAAAAAAAGCAGCAGACGCCATTATGCAAATGAAGTGCAGGATATTTAAATCCTGGCTTCATTTGCAATATTGACGTGCCTAATTTACATCCCTTTACCGAAAAAGGGATGTAGTCTAGACACAGCCCTAATCTCTAAGGTGCTACAGGATTCCTTGTTGCTTTAGCAGAAGGATAAGTCACTGACACGTGCTTTGAGACATCTAGACATCCAGTGGAACCTCCCCACCCCCACACCACACAATGATGCAGTCTCCATATAGTGAGATACAAGATGTGAAAGAGATTCAATCTTTTCTGTCTCACTCAGAATGTCCTTGGTGAATGGGCCCTTAAAAAACAAAAACAAACCCTAATGTTTCTATGGAAACTAGAGATAGGCTCAAATCAAGAATGCAATCACCATACATCAAACCAAGACATATCTGCTCTATTGCAGGCACTCATTTACTTGTCATTGTGCCATTTGTGAATGTAAGGGTCACTCACCCTATTTCACCAAGATAAATGCCAATATTCTTGGTAATGTAGCATATGCTGGATTTTAATCTGTGATATTTGCAATATCATAGAATCATAGAATACTAGGACTGGAAGGGACCTCGAGAGGTCATCGAGTCCAGTCCCCTGCCCTCATGGCAGGACCAAATACTGTCTAGACCATCCCTGATAGACATTTATCTAACCTACTCTTAAATATCTCCACAGATGGAGACTCCACAACCTCCCTGGGCAATTTATTCCAGTGTTTGACTACCCTGACAGTTAGGAACTTTTTCCTAATGTCCAACCTAAACCTCCTTTGCTGCAGTTTAAGCCCATTGCTTCTTGTTCTACCCTCAGAGGCCAGGAAGAACAAGTTTTCTCCCTCCTCCTTATGACACCCTTTTAGATACCTGAAAACTGCTATCTTGTCCCCTGTCAATCTTCTCTTTTCTAAACTAAACAAACCCAATTCTTTCAGCCTTCCTTCATAGGTCATATTCTCTCAATCTTTAATCATTCTTGTTGCTTAACAGAGCTGGTACACAATATGGTGGCTGGTACACAATCATTTTCAATTGCATTCCTTCTCATCCTTCCATCTCTGCTAATTAGTAGCCAGCTATTGAGTAGTTCAGATTTAAGCAATGAAATAACATGAAGGAAGACAGAGAAACAGTTCTCAAAATGTGTCCAGTGGAGAATTGTCACATAGTCCTGGCATGCCAACTGCTTCCAACTGCTAAATTTCATTAAAAAGGCAGCTAAACGTACATGAACTACTCTCCTACTTTCGTGTAATCCACTACTGTAGCTTCCACCTGACTTCATGTGATGATGGAGAGAAAAAGAAGTGGGGTCCGTATGATCACAAGTGAGAGAGAAAATGACCACAAGGTACCTTCTGTGTTAAGATGCTATTGGAAACATTTGGGAACATCTGGGTTAGGGGATTGGTAGTAAGAGAGAGTGAGCTTTACACCTCTAAGTCACCAGTTCAAATACCGGAGGAGTAGCCATCTTAGTTTCTATATATTTAAGAACGTCCGTACTGGTTCAGACCTGTGGTCCAGCTGGCACAGTATCCTGTCTGCTGGACAATACCAGATGCCCCAGAGGGAGGGAACACAACAGATAATCCTCACGTGATCCTGCTTCGTCACTCATTTCCAGACAAAACAATGCAGTGCAAAAACAACGAGGAGTGCTATGGTACCCTAAATGCTAACAGATTTATTTGGGCGTAAGCTTCCATGGGCAAAGACTCATCCAGTGTATCTGATGAAGTGGGTGTTTGCCCATGAAAGCTTATGCCAAAGTAAATCTGTTAGTTATTACGATGCCATAGGAGTCTTCGTTGTTTTACAAGTTCAAATGTAACCCTGGTCAGCAGAGACTAAAGTGGACGCTGTTTGCTATCTCTTGGTCTTTGTGAAATGAGTTTGACAGTCAAAGCAGCTCCCAAAAGAGGCAGATCTCCACATCTTGAAAGATTCCTCAAGTAGAATAAATGAGCATCCTTGTTGGCAGTAGCTGCGGAGAGAGAAGTGCTTGAATAAGCTATTGAGACTCCTTGTCTTGGATACGTTTTACCCCCTCCTAAAATTTCCCACTGTAGTTGTCAGTGCCACCCGAAGAGGTGGGATTTTTAAGGAAAATGCGTAATATAGACACAGCCTAAAAGAGTAGGTACCCCTGCAAGAGAACCGAGGCTGGCTGATGAGGAAAGCAGTGGAAGCTTGTATTATTGCTACCTGTGTTGTATCTCTGCTATCCGTGAAATCCAGACCTTCAGTCTCTACAACTAGCACCTCTCAGGATACTACATTCATAAGAATGGCCATTCTGGGTCAGACCAAGGGTCCATATAGCTCAGTATCCTGTCTTCCAACTGTGGCCAATGACAGATGCCTCAGAGGGCATGAACAGAACAGGTAATCATCAAGTAATCTCTCCCCTGTCATCCATTCCCATCCTCTGACAAACAGACTATGTCTACACTGCCAGCTTTTGCCTGCAGAGTATGCAAATGAAGCGCTGATTAGCATTTTGTCATGCTTCATTTGCATACTCTATTTGAGCTGGTTTTGCGCAAAAACAAACAGTGTGGATGTTTCCTTTTTGCGTAAAACCCCAGCTTGACTAGATTATGCAAATGAAGCGTGACAAAATGCTAATCAGCGCTTCATTTGCATACTCTGCAGGCAAAAGCTGGCAGGCAGTGTAGACAAAGCCACAGAGGCCACAGGCACCGTTCTTACCCATCCTGTCTAACAGCCATTGATGGACCTATCCTCCATGAATTTAATTCTTTTTTGAATCCTGTTGAGGTCCTGGCCTTCCCAACATCCTCTGGCAAGGAGTTGCATGGTCAGCCTATGGATTGTGTGAAGAAATACTTCCTTTTTGTCTGTTTTAAATCTGCTACCTATTAGTTCAATCCTACTTCTTGTGTTATGGGAACAAGTAAATAATTTTTCCTTATCGACTTCCTCCACACTGGTCATGATTTTATAGACCGGCCTCATATCACCCCTTAGTCTCCTCTTTTCTAAGCTGAAAAGCTCCAGTTTTATTAATCCCTCCTGAGATGACAGCCATTCCAAATGCCTAATCATTTTTCTTGCCTTTTTCTGAACTTTTTCCAATGCCAAGATATCTTTTTGGAGATGAGGCAACCCCAGGTTAGCACTGGTTAAAAATGTTACATGAAAACAGAAACCCTTTAGTGACACCTTGGAATCTTCTGGATATGCAGCAAATAGTAACCATTTGAATACAATACGGCTTTCCACATAGGTCAATCGTTTGCCAGATTTGGTAAATGGATCCATGGGCTCCCATTGCCCCTCAAAAACAATTATGTGTCTTTAAGAAAACATGGCTGATTATATCTGACCCCTGACTTGGTTCTGTCAGAGGTTTTACAAGGTTTTGTACACAGAGATGGCAGTGCAGTAAAGTGTTGTTTCAGGCTGACAGATCTATATTTTTCTACTTGCTCAGAAATCCCAGATGTTTCTGCCACTCTTACTTGACCTGGTGTCCTCTGAGTGCGCCCTTTGAACAGTTGGGACTGACCCAGGAGCCAGCTCAAACATATGGCTGCACTTGTGCAGCCGAATGACACCAGAGCTGCTGATCTGCACCTGGTTAGGTTGCAATGGGGGAAGGGGAGGAGGCAGATAAGGATGACTAATTTGCAGGGTGTTGACTGAAACAGCTGTGTGAACTACCCTGCAAATGAAAAGGCCAGGGTTTAAATGGCTTTAAATAGCATTTCTAGCTCTTCCTGTCTACCACATTCCTCAGGGTTTTGCATAGAGTGGCATCCTGTTACAGTAGGCAAAAGGTGTTGCAACACAGACCTTTTGGGTAGATTCCAAATGTGATGTTTTGTGGTGTGGTGAGAAGTCAGAAGAATTTGCTGAATTACTGCTAGTCCACACTGGGGAAAAACTATGGTAGACAGCACCGCTTCTTTCAGCTGGCTTGAAGATGGTATTGCAACCAGGTGATACAAAATATGCTTGTAAACCACTTGGACAGTTGTGTGTAGATGTCCTATGTTTTAACAGCCAAATGGCCTTATACGCATTTAATAGTAAAAACAGTGCTGTGTTGTTTGGCTCTGGGGTTTGTTTCAGCCTGTTATGAC